GTTTGATCAATTTAATGCATCCTTGCTGAATAAAAGTATTAATTTCTTTAAATAAAATAAGAATAAAAACATCCTACTGACCCCAAACATGTGGGCATCAGAAACAGTTTTTCTCTTTTAGTTCCTCAGTGGAAAAAATGCAATAAACACAACAAAATTAATGACATAAGGGTTCATAATAGTTCTGAAAAACCTCTTTCTCAATTTGCTTCGTGCGTGACTTGTAAATTGAAATAACAGAATGTAAACAAGCAACACACCACAGAGTCAGACTTGTTTTCTGCATGTTGTGTTAAAAGGTAAACTCTCAGCAGGGGACTACAGTGCGAAACTTTTCAATTTCTGAATTGTTTATAAGACCTTGTACCCAACTGTACCGGCAGGTGACAAACCACTCTTCAAAAATATCCGAGCTTCCTTCTCCACTATCGATGTGGAATTGGTTCCTTTGGTTTTCATGGGACCATTCACACCTTTTCCAACTTCCTCTGTGTTCATATGTAGTTGTGTATAATTATCTCCCAAGGCTCCTTACTGTGTGGGTGGATGCCCAACTGTGAGGGAGATGTGGAGGATCCTGACAGCTCCCGGCAACTGTGTTTCGTACATCGTCAAGCTAGAGCTGTTTTGCTTCTTCAATGCCAAAATACTCAGCGCAATCAGCAAGACTCTGTGCTTTGTGGAGGTGAGTGCTTGATGACTTGGGCCCATTTCAACTGTTCCCCCTGCAACCATTTCCCTCTAAGGAATAGATGCAGGTGAGAACGTTCTGGTAACTTTATTTAACATCACCAGAATGTAGTCCCATCGGGGTAAAAATGCATACATTTGGTACACAAATGATGCCTCTGCTGTGCAGACCGCTGAGCTGTTGAGAGTACCGAGTATCTCTTCAAACCCCTGGGACTCCTGATGGCTCACTTTCAGACAAAATTGTGTCTTCATTAGGAAGAAACAAATAATTTAAAGAACCAATCATGTGGGATAAAAGGTTTCGGGTCCGATGCCCAGTGGTTCAAACAAAGTCAGCCATCCTGCCCAGATCTGAACATCACTGCGGAAAACTGGGATACTGAGGCTGTGATGGAGCAGGGGGGCATCATGATGTGACCATCTGCTCCATCACTCAGAAATTAGGGCAGGGTAGGCCTGAGACTGTGAGACCTGAATAAATAAACTGCCTTTTAATATCATTCTCAAAGGACAAACTCACAATGTCTGAGACTTATACAGTCAGCCACAGCATGTAAAGATCAGACAAACAAACAAAACCCAAATAGTGGTGTGGCTCGCTCAGGCTCGGAGGGCTAGCATCGCTTTTCACCCTGCTGTCCACCGTTCTTTCTGCATCACAAATGAAACAGGCGCATCGCCACTGCATATTTATGAACACGGCCGCTTCAGTAAATGGCAACACTGCTGCATATTTATAGTAGGTTTGTTTCCGAGAAATGAGGTCCTTTTGAATTCACATAAATCTCTTGATTCTGGTAAAGGATGTTCTGAATGCATCGAAATGTTTTCCACTTGTCATCGGTAAACACATTTCTGTGTAGATCGAGTGCAAAGTGTTATTAAATAATCAGACTGGAGTATGTTCATGAGATCTGCTGTTAGGGGACATGTCAATGCCCAAGAGGCCGTTCACATAGGACGTGTTATTCTGTTTTTTAGAAAATATAGTTCAAATTTTGATACGAAGCTTGGCAGATCTGTGTCCGTTTTAAAAATACAGACCAATCAGATCATTCTGGGGTGGCATATACATCTTAAATGTATTCAGTTTGCACATTATCTCTGGTGTATGGGCATTAATGCGCCTATAAAAACACCTTCTGTTCAATTACAGTATGTCTCTCCAGCTATTTTTAATAAAAAATTCATCCTCTGTAAATTTATCCTATGTGCAGTACATCTCTGTGTAAGTACATTTACATTCACAGCTATAATTGAGCTAGAGCAGGTTATTGCATAATCGAGCTACAGTCTTTATCTGTCCAAGCATACATGACACAATGCGTAATCAAATATTTGAAGGATTAAATATACACTGTGAGTCACCTCTGTGTCTCAGAGCAGATTGCTGAGGCCAATTGTAGTCTGTTTCATGTGTATACACTTCAAATCTTGAGGTCAGTAAGATTAAAAAAAGAATGCCTTATTTATTTAGCAAGGATGCATTAAATTGATCAAAACTGACAGAAAAGACATTATTTAAACATTTAAATTCTTTAAAGAATTCTGAAAGATAATAATAATAAAATAATAATAATAAAAAGTATTGGAGTTTCCACTAAAATATTATATAAAATAATGGTTTTGAACATTGAAAATAAGGGCAAATGATTCTTGAGCACCAAATCAGAATATTAGAATGATTTCTGAAGGATCATGTGACACTGAACACTAGAGCAATGGCTGCTGAAGATTCAGCTTTGCCATCACAGGAATACATTACATTTTAAAATATATTAAAACAGAAATCAGTTTTTCTCTCATAATAACAATTTCTAATTGTCATCATACTTTACTGTTTTTACTATATTTTTGATCAAATAAATGCAGCCTTGGTAAGCATGCATTAAAAAAAAAATCTTATCAATAAACATTTGAACAGTAGTGTACATGCTAGACGAATCTAAGCTACAATTGCATTATCCACATCTGTTATTCTGACTTCACACACACAAACAACTAAAATTGAGTGCTTGTAAATGCTTTGTAGCTACGAATGCAGCTTGTCAGATTGCATGACATGAGCCAAGTGAGAAAAGCCAAGACAGATTGTGTGACATCAACAGATTTTACGATATACATCATTGACTGGGCAGTCTGTGTCCGGTCTGACATCCTTATTTGAGGATGAGCATGTCACACTAAGAGATTCAAGACTGCTGAATTCACCTTACGATGACAGAAATAGAAAATAAATATTTTACAATATTCAAAATTTGTAACAGGCTGCAGAAATCTTATAACTTGCACCCTAATTTGTCACTGGCCTGTTTATAAGACTACTGTGTCTGGGAGTGTGTTGTGCTCCCATTATGCAGAGGGAGTAGACGAAAGATGTGGCTCGAGGAAGCTCAGGTGCTTTGCTATCTTTGGCATTCAGGTTAACACCGATGACTGCCTTATTGTCAAATTAGCCAATATACTGAGCTCAGGGTTGCAATGAAATAACAAAACAATAACACGCTCACAAAAGCCTGTAAAGACGCACAAGCAAAATATACTTAGTAAGACCAAGGGACAAAGCACTTTATCAGATGATGTGATAAAAGGTAAAATCCTTGAAATGTCTGGATGCTCCTGATTGGACAGGAAACTCAGGCTTGCTTACTTCAGTGAATTAACAAATTTGCTTTTGTTACTATGCAACAGTACAACTGAAGGCCAAATTTGGATGCAGAACCATATTAGTTTAATGATGAAGGAGCTGATCATTACGTTAATTCTTTGAATGTGAATGAGCAATGGCAGTTTGGGGACACAACACTCTATGATGAGTCACTCAAAGAGATACGTACCGGAAACAAGCAAACACAAAAACAAACAAAGACACCTTTGAAAGAGCCTTTAGAGACTGCCATTAATTACCCTGGGGCTTGTGGAGAATCAATGCCAGGGAAGGCTGGAGCTCTCAAATTAAAGAAAAAAATAGATTGGCAAAGAGATGGAGAACACCTATCTGTCTCATCACATCTCTTTGTTTCTTCTTCCAGTACCTTCCTAAACACGAAGCATGTCTATTTGCTATTAAAAGGAGATTTCAAGAAAAGAGTAGAAATCTGTCATAATTAACTCATCCTCACATTGTTCCAAATCTGTATGCTGCTATTTTTTAGTGGAAAACAGTGTGAATGTTTAGAATATGCATGTCAATCATGGGAAGCAAGAAGAAATAAATGTATACAGTACACTATAAAAAAAATGTTATGCCATAAACAGTATAACACGACATAACTAACATAAGCAATTAATTTACTTGTAAAATATCATATCTGTTAAGCTCTAAAAAAAGTGACCAGCTCATTGAGTCAGTAAACTGAATCAGTGCACAATTAAATCTTTTATAGTAGTTTGATTTATTAATCATTCCGATTTGATTCAATGATTCAGTCATAGCTGTCCAATGATCCAGTCAATTAACAGCTCACTGGAGAGGAAGATTGTCAGCGAATCTTTTCATTTAAATATAATATTGTATGACTTCAGAAGAGTTGGAATATAGCACATGATTTTTTCCTTTTTTTATTTTGTAGTGTAACAGCTGTGCTCTATGTGTGTCACTGTATGGAAAAGACCAAGTGAATATTCTAATATCTAACTTTTTTGTTCCAAGGAAGAAATCATATATATATGGAATAGGGCTGCACGATAAATCGCATGCGATATTTAACGCGCCCCTAATATGGAACAACACAACGGTGAGTAAACAATTACACAATTCAAAAGAAAAAGCCACATTTTCCTCTTCCCACCGAAAATCAAACACTTCCTGATGGTCGCTCCTTCTGCAGTGACCAGGAAGCAACAAAAAGACGACGGAAGGAAAATAAGAGGCAGTCATTGGCTGTCAAGCTCGGGGCTGAGGAGGGATTTGAGGAGAGGCTCTCTGAGGAAATGATCTTTGCGAGGGTTATTGGAAACAGCGTGAGCTGGAGTGTGATCTGTGAGAAACTTAATCGCCTCTCGTCTCATTCCAGTCAGCTCCATTTCTCACATTCCCAGAAAATGTCTGCCAGCGAGCCCGAAGGCTCCTGCAGCCCACAGGCAAAAACTAGCCGTACCTGACAACTCGCTCGCACTTTGGAAACACCACTCAAAGCTCTGCTGGCCGCAAAACAGAGGCCTTGTAACCGCAATGTTTTACACTTCTGAAAGCATACACGTGCACGCACATACATACAAATGAACAGTACACATACAGAGGAGGGCACTTTGGTTCAGTATCATAGAGGCAGAGAGAAGAGGAAGAGAGGGGATAAGTCACTTACTGGTAGTACAGTTTATCCTGATACAGTCTAGATGGGGAAGAACAGACAAGATGTAAATTCAGCCTTCAAGGTTACGACTGCAGACATCCATTACAACACATCGACCACAAACTGGGGACGGACACGCAAACCAGGTGGAACGGCGAGGCGCTGTTTCGCTGACCAGATACGCACTCTTTCTTTTCTACCTCCTGCGTGCTGATAATGAACCCCAGGTGGAGTGGATACGGACTCGCTGTCTGCACTAATGAATATTCATGCCTTCACTGTGCCATAATATATTTAGAATTAGGGAAATTTGGCATGTATTGAAATGTGATTATACCCAGTTCCATACTAGTCTCGGGACTACTGAATATTCAGAGGTAATTGATTAATTTGCTCTCTGGGTTAGCTCAGAAAGCGGCACAGGAAGCAGAAAATAGAGAGAATCTTGCCAGAGAAACAGTCTGTCCTCGCCAATGGCGCTGCTGATGCTCTCGTATGCACATTTTTTTAAACCATTTCCCTTTAATGAGCAAAAACAGAAGAATTAAAGAATGACTCGTATTTGACGAAACTGGAAATGGGAAAAGGGCCGCCAGATAAGAGGGAGAGGACTTGTGTTTATGGACATGTCGCAGCAGAGCACCAGAGCGTGTCCACGGTAAGCCTTAGCCTCCTGGGAGAAGAGTTGAATTCAGAATGCTCCTGTAGATAAAAACACTCCAAAAACTCACAGCCCTTGACTTGATGTTCACTTTTCCAGCTCGCATGTGAGAAGAACCCCACGTGCATGAATAAACATAGGAATAACATATTTTATAGTAAGCTCTCACAGTGAAGCTTCAAGGAAAGCCAGTTTGTGTGTGCGCATCCCCCCCCCCAAAAAAGGACTAATCTCTCGGTAATTTCCCTAAAGACAGTACACTGACATAATCATTATTAATGCTACTAATACTGCTTTGAAATAAATTCTCTTCAGGGTTCAACAATAAGGATTTTCCTTTAAAGCTGTTTTTACTTGCCCTGCCAGCATTTTAAATGTTTGCTAGAAATATATCGTATGTGCTAAACATGAAATGCTAGAAATCAATTTTTATTTTCAATTTAAATACTAAATAAAATTTGCTAGAAAACAAATTGTACACATCACTAAATCATTATCATGGTTACTGAAGACTGTGATTTTTTTACTGTGATTTTTGCTATTTCAATGCTAGCCAGCTAGATATAACTATGTTAGTGACAAATCAGCAGAATTTGTAACACCATTGTTGACTACATCAAATAAAACCAAACGGTTAGGTTTTCAAGGCATCAAAATCAATGTACAAAAATCAATGGCCTGTCAAATGGCCCAAAACTCTCTCACACTTACTGTCCTTATTGTTGAACCCTGATATCACTTCACATTCAAGATGTTAACTGCTTTTCCAAACCCAATGTTCCCATTGGAATTTGACTTAACACTAAAACCTAAATCTAAAAAAAAAAAAAAAAACTCAAGGTGAACTGTCTTTAAAACACAAAAAGTACAGTACCGCTGAGACTCCTTGCTGAACTGCTTTTGTTCTGGCTGGTACTGTTTAATATAAAACCTTGCTTGAATGCTGGGAGGAGGCCCCCCTTTCCCATTACTATCTTTTGCAAAGCGTACTTGTAGAATGGAGAATCGATATTTCTCGTGCACAGCCTGGGCTGTCCCATGCTTCAGTGTGTGCTATGATGGAGTGGAGGGCCGAGAGGAATTCAGAGCATTACACAAATCCAGCTCTATCGTTTTCCCATGAGGCTGCAGCCCGTCGCGTGTCGTCAACCACAGTGAAAATAGTGGCCGCTAACAGCCAGAGAGCAACGTGTGTCCACCCTAGCAGGGAGTGCAGTACCCTCCGTGACAGAAGGAATGATTGGTGTTTGTGTGGGTGCATGTCTGTTTGTGTATGCAGAGGAGTGCATGTTTGAGCCTGCTGGGACTACTGGGAGGTTTTAGACATGCTATATGCAAGCGGACATGTTAAATGGCACAGTGTATGTCACACTGCCAAATGGGAATGGCTGACATTCATCTTAGCGAGGGAATGTTTGGTTCTGCACATTTCAGCAGAGGAACTTTTTTATCTCAGTTTTGCATGAGAAATACCTGAAATTTGGGAGGACAGTTAAACGACTGATGTTCAAATTTACTTACTGTGAACTAGATTGAACTCGTGAATAGCAGAGGTGGTGCTTTATGAGTGGAGCAAGACTGTATAATATTAAGCTGTGCCAATGAGGGAGGAAAGCGTAGTGGCTTGTGGGGAGATGTAAATGAAACGTACTGGGCGGAACAATGGCTTGTCAGTACTCCTGACACATGTAGCGCTCTAGCGGGGAGTCTATAGTATGCAGGTGTAGGACTATTGTGTATCAGTACAAGGCAGGGACTGTGCACTCTCTGGTAGGGAAAGTCTACAGCGTGCTCATCTGGGAGTGAGCGCATGGCCGCAGACTCTGGCCGTTGAAGGTTCTACATCCTTCTCTTCAACACACAAGGATTTTAAAATGTTTAATGTCTGTGTGTGAGTACATAGCTATACTTTAGGGACAAATGTATCCCCAAAAATGAGCTAATTGGACAAAACCTTAGTTTAGGGACACCCAGGAATGTTCTCATTTGTAAAAAAATAAAATAAAATAAAATAAAATATACCGTTCAAAAGTTTCAGGTTGGTAATTTTTGTTTTTGAAAGAAGTTTCTTATGCTCAACAAGGCTGCATTTATTTGATCAAAAATCAATAAAAACAATAATGTAAAATATTATTACAATTTACAACAACTATGTTATAATTTAATATACTTCACATGATCCTTCAGAAAGCTTTCTAATATGCTGGTGCTCAAGAAATATTTTGTATTATTATCTGTGTTAAAAACAGATGAGCTGCTTAATGTTTTAATGTAAATCATGATACAATTTATATTCAGGATTTTCTGATGACTAGAAAGTTCAAAAGAACAGCATTTACTAGAATTTATTCAGATTTATTATAATTTATTTATTATGAATAGAAATAGTTTGTCTTTACTGTCATTTTTTATCAATTTAATGCATCCTTGATTAATAAAAGTATTCATTTTTGAGGTCTTACTGACTTTACAAGGTTTTGAACGGTATTATAATATAATTAATATAATAGTTAGTCTATAGTGCAGTATATATAATTAGCTGTATATAAAAACAATAGCTAGAAGTCAATGATATGTCCTCATAGCCAAGTAAATTGTGAGTGTTACCTGAATAATAAAAGGGAAATATTTACAAAAATAAATCTTACATTGTAAAACTTATTAACATAGACAATAGATGAAGACATAATGTACTAATATGCCTGCAAATTGAAAACAAATGATTCCATGCTATGTTGTTTGACATGTACGTTCGATATCTATGTGTGGTGTTAACTATTAAGGTGAACGCTCCAATTGGCTGATGTACCTAGATTGACAGTGAGTCGGACACGCCCTCCGTCCAGCTCCAGTCTCAGAGTGTCTGCTGAGTTCCGGGACGTGGTTGCCATGAGAACACCATAGGCACGCTGGGAACGGAAGCGCAGCGACACGTCCTCTGCTTCTGTGTGCATCACTACTGGCAACTGGATCTTCATGAACTTACTGCCGTCATAACTGAGGATGGTGGCATCTGAGAGAGAGGAGGAGAGAGAATTTAGAAAACACTAAAAAAAGAGGGTGCTGGGCAGTGACAGCAGCTCTGTGGCTGATCCTAAACCCTAGTGTTGATGGCGACAGATGAATGACTGGTTACTAAAATGTTTTACAGCCAGACACTGAAATTCTCCACAGCATTTCACACCAGTAGGACAGAGCTGCTCAGTCTAACCAGAAGATAAATGCCATAAAAAAAGACTCATTATACACCACATTTTATTTGTTCTTTTTATTGCAAAGCAGTATTTATGAAGACACCATATAATGTATTCCTGCTGAGGGGCTTTTGAAGCACCGTTTACCGCCATCCGTTGCTTTAATCTGTTTGTTCGTATCACAGTTATTTTACTGAACAATTCAATTTAGTGGGAGGATCTCAAGACATCTCATTTGCAATGGGAGACAGTGGAGGTCACAGAGTGACTGGCATAATCTCACCAGCTGCTCAATCAGAGATATACAGTCCAGAAAGAGAGGAGGAGACACACATGCCATCCGACAGGGTACCTCTGCCTAATCTGCACATTTTCACTTCATAAAAGCTGATTTCAGGCCAGAATTGTTTGCCTGCTTAAATTGAGTTTTTCATGGCAAAAAATACAAATAAATTAAGTTGGGAGTTTATGTTTTTTAATGCTCACTCATTGATTTGATCAAAATTGTGTAAAATCAGTACTCGTGTAAAAATATTATTTCAATTTAAAACTACTCTTTTCTATTTTAATATATTTCAGATCACACTTTATTTTAAAGTCTAATTCTTGCCATTAAAAACCATTGACTTGTCCTGTTTTGCCTCAATAAACACCGAATTTGCTGCTTATTAATAGTTAGGCGGTTGTTAAATTTAGGTATTGGTTAGGATTAGGGATGTAGAATATGGTCATGCAGAACATGTGTTTTATACTGTACAGTGGTAGAACACTAGTATTTTCACCAGCTAAAAAATGGTTTTAAGTCAGTTATTTCTATCGTTTGCTGTAGTGTGTCAGAAGGAGATATCAGTTTACATTTCAAAACATTCATTTAGCCATTAATTGTAATAATGCAGTGAGATGTTTGTGCTCCACACAGAGATCTGATCTGATCATCATCAGTCTGTCTGAGATTACATGAAGAAACAGAACAAACTGAGACAGACTCAATCCAGAAGAACTGTGT